AACAGCCAGAAAAGAAAAATCCTGGTTTAACTCCAATGGACTGGGTGAAGTTCCTTGTTTCTGCTGCAATTGGACTGGTTAGTTTTGCTGCATCCTGCATATATATATACACACTTCAAAATAAATAAATAAATTTGTAAAAGCTTAATTATTTTTAATTTCTTCCAATAATATATGTCTCTTGCTTAATTTCCTGATCTTAATTTACAGGTTACTGTAATTAGTTCACTCAGCATCCCTAAAGCTAACATCAAGGTTATTTTTGGCATCCTCACTGCAGTGGTTGGTTACTGTGTTAAAACATATTTCTCGTTAAGTTTCTTCTTCTTCTTCTTCATCATTGCATATGTGCATGAATGTAAATTAATTTCTCTGGAATGGATAGGAACATATCTTTTTCAGCTAATTCTTCAACTTTGTGCAAAATACATACATATATAGGCTGATGACAACAAAATTAATTGTTTCCCATGCATCTCTTCGATCTATATTCTTGTTTTAAGTGATTAATTTGTTCCTGTTTTAGTAATCTGTCCTCGGACTTGCATATTTTGGTACTTATGCTCTCTCTCTCTCTATATACCTCTTGCAGGTTTCAGAAAATTTTAATTAATTACCAGAACTTAATCACGCAATCTGTATATAACAAACAATTGGACAGCGGAAGAGGCACTCTTCTTCACCTCTGTGATGAGGTGATTCAACAGGAAGTAAGTGATTTATATATATATATACATATATATATATATATATACACGTAGAGTTGGAGGTTAATTTACACGATCTGAAAAATTAATTAAATAATTGTTCCTAGCTACTTAATAATTAATTGGGTGCATGCAAAATTATAATGATGAAAAAACCTCAATCAATATCATTGCTAGCTACTACCTTACTGTTGAACAACGTACGAAGTTCTTAATTAAAAATCATTAAAAGAAAGGCCTCACAAACCAACCGGACCTGAGATTCAATGGTTGGTTCCCAAACCTTAGGGCTTGGGTAAGGCGGAGGTCAGGGTTTCGAGCACTGTCACCGCCGTGAACTCCACCAACTTGCAACCTAATGGTTGCGTGCCTCATATGAGGGGGTGGAACATTCACCATCCTAAAAAAATTTCAACTACTAACAAATTAATTCTACTAATTTTTTAACCATTTAACTGCTAAAAAAAAAAAAAAAAGGCCTCACAATGTGAATATATTTGCAGATAAAAGAAGTGATTTTCTCCTTCTTTGTATTGATGCGACAGCAAAAGGCTGTTAGTAAGGTACATGGTACCACTACGATCCTCCTGCCTAGCTCTCCTTTGCTGAGTACGAAGAGAGAAATTTTTATATCTGATCAAGTTTTATATTAATTGCTGACTCCTTTTTTTTTTCAAAAAAACAAAACCTATAAAAACAATGAATTTGAAGGAAAATCTTGACCTGCTGTGTGAAGAATTAATTAAAAAAAAATTCGGTGAGAACTGCAATTTTGACGTAGATGATGCAGTGCAAAAGCTGGACAAGTTAGGACTTGTTTCTCAGGTGATGCATACACTTCTTCTTTTTTTTCCGTCATTTTGTTTCTCATTGTTATGACTATATATTATGTGTTTTTTTAAACTGCATTTTTACATACAGATTAAATAAGTAATTAATATATCTTTTTATTATTAAATTATATAAAAAAATAAATTTTAATTTTAATTTTAA